AGGGTCAAACTTTACTTACTTTGTTTGCTCATTTTTACCAGTCATTTCATAAAATAATATAGCCTTGTCACCTCTAGTTTTGTAGAATTTTTCATATAGTTTATTTCTATATAAATTTTATTTTAAAATTTTACTCCTATAATCAATTAAATTGAATTAAAAATAAAGTTGGTCAAGTCTCGTAACACGTAATGGGAAGATCTTAGGTGGACGGAGGGAGTATTTAGGAACCTAATCTTATTATAAAAAACTATGATCAGGAGTATGACCTTGATTATTTAGGAACATTCACTTCAATCGTCAAACATCAAACCATTTGTATTGTGTTGACTTTAGCCTACATTATTATTATTGGTCGTTTTATTTGCTCAATTTTTCTAATATTTTTTTACATAGTGAGTTACTTAATCTACATATCACATCACATCTACTCACTATTAATTGTATCCATCAAATCCTACCTTTTTATCCATCACAACATCAAAGTTATTTTTGAAAACTCAAAACAAAATATGCTTCCCTAAAATTCTTTAAAAATCAAAATATGCCATATTTTAAGGGATGGGTGGAGTATAGTATGACGAAGGAAAATCACAAGAAATTCAAGGGGTAGCTGAGTTGGTTGAGCAAGGGGTTCCAAAGACGATAAACACAAATTCGATTCTTGACAACTACATTCAGAGCTAGACAATTATACTAAACATACAATCTCTTCAAGTATACAAGATTACAAGGTGCTGGCTCTACCAATGTCAATTAGTCTGTGATTAAATCTCAAATTATCTCGTCTAAATTGATGACTATCTGGTCGGTTCTAATTAAAGAACCCCGAGATGAGACTCATCAATCTTTTTCTTTTGTTGTAGGGATGATGGAGTATTATATATTCATCCTTGAATATTTTTCCCATAAAACTTCGAAAAATATATCTTGAGGAAGACTACCATGGGGCCGGAACGTACACTTTGAGCCACATTTTACCGGGGAGGGCCGCCCGGGGGGATTATTACTCCCTCCGTCCTAAAACTTTCTTCCCACTTTCCCTTTTTCTCCGTCCTAAAACTACCTTTCCATTAGAAAAAAAAAAGATGACAAATGACATTAATACCCTCATGTATTTACACCAATTATCTTCTAACTCTATATTTTGAATGATTGCAAAAAAAAAAAATTCAAAAAATCTTTTTTAAGGAGGGTAAAATTTGAAGTCAAAGTCAAAAATTAAAAATAGGGAAAAGTCAAACTGGGAAGAAAGAATTAGGACGGAGGGAGTATTATTATTACCTCCCTCCCTGGCATGGGTTAGCTAGCTTAGCGTAGAAAATGAATTTTGCAGGCAATGCCAAAAGTAACACAAAACACAGGAAAGGTCAGACCACAAGAATCATCCACTTTTAACAATCTACTCTACTCTACCGCCCTATACCCTTAGCTTTTGCTTTGCTTGCTAGTTTCAGGCCTTAAATTGTTCTTCAATTGGTTCATCTAAATACAGTATGGCTATGCATATATATTTATATAGGCCTTCCCATTTAGTAAAGCTATATACTCCGTATATGTCTATTTCCATCCTATATATACACACACACACACCTCAAAAAGAGAGTACTTTTGCCACACCCAAAAACACACACACACACAAAACGACAAGCTAAATAGCTAGCACTATAGTAGTCGTTGTACTTTTCCATTCTTTATTTTAACTTTATCAAAAATTCTTAAGAAAATATATGCACATAGTACTAAAACTAAGTAATTTTTATAAATAATGTTCAAATTGTTTTATTCTCTAAATAACACTTAATAATGTTTAGAAGGAAGACTAATGTTCAGTAATGGCTAACATTTACTTGAATAATGACTAATTGATAATGACTAAAAGTGCTACATTGAGGAAAAACACATATGATATTATTTAAGGGAAGTCATTATGTTTTAGTGTTATTTAGAAAATTTCTCAGTTCTTAAACCATATCTTCTTCTTCTTCTTTTCTAAAGTCGTTTAATCCAGGCCTCTCAAAAATATCCTTTCACTTTGAACAACATAACATATAAATTTTATGCATTCTTGGCAAAAGTAGCTAGGGAGTGTCAAGGAGGAAGGTAGATCCGAGTTCGATTTCTTACAATGGCGCAGGAGATAAGACCATTTGCAAGTACCAGATGCAACCTAATTCACTGTTACTAATTTGCGATTAAAGTCTAGTTTACCTTCTCTCAAGGACCACCCGACCCGGTTTGAGGAGGTCCTCGGAGATGAGGCTCATCCTTTTTTATTTTTATCTATTTTAAAATTCTTATATTTTTAAATGAGTATAGATATATGAAATGTACATTATAATATTCTATGACTTATGACATCTCTTGCATATTTTGTAATAAAATTTTTGTTATAGTTTTTTAAGTATAACTTTAGCACAAATTGAATACTAATATTTTTAAATAGATTAAACTAAAAATGAACTTAGTCAAAATAATAAATAAAAATGAAAAGATTAAACAAGTACTCATTCAATTTCGAAAGGTAAAATTTTTTCTTTATTTAATTTTTAAATTAATTTTCGTTAATTATTTGTTAAATAGTCATGAATGTAATCCTCATTTTATAGAGAATTTGATGTGGACCTTTTGTCTCAAAAAATTCCTTAGAATTTGACTTTTTTGGTCAAATCGTTACACACTTTAACCTTTAAAAAATACAGAGTATAATTTTAAAATTAATAAATGTTATAAGAAATTGATGTTTCAAAACTATATCTTAAAATGTACACTGTCAGAATAATTTTACATTATAATTAATATACTTTTTCCATAATTTATGACTAAAATGTGTAATAATTGTAAAAAAATCAAATTGTAAAGAATTATTTTAGAATGGAGGAAGTAGTTTTTTATATAAATCATCCTTTTGGTCTTTCATTTTTTGAAAAATATAGGGTACGCCTTAATTATGCAAATAACTCGTTTTTTAAATAAATTACTCCGTAGAATATTGTACCAATTTTTGACTCGTGACATCGTGATCAAAAAATAATTATAATATGCATGAGCTGAGGTTCTTGTATTTAATTGGGAAAGATTTAGTAAAAATAATCATAATATACATTTTCTATCAATAAGATTAAGATCATATTAACTTATTTTATTTTCTTCCAACATAGTATTGGGACTCACTATTGAGACTAGTACTAGTTAAGGGGGAACTAAATTGGGGATATGATTCAAGTTCAATCTTTAATTTTATTTTAAAAGTGATATGAGTGTGACATGATATGATATGTTGGAGAAATATACTCCATAAGATCAACTTGAGCTATAGCTTAGTTGTTTTGGAAGTGATAGATGAATAGATGTTTATTTATCAAGTGATTAAATATGATTATATGGCCGGCCAGGTTTAATTTCTTTTTCCTTAATCATATCATTCTCTCCTTGACCACGGAACCCTACTAAAAAAAAGCAATCTTAGCTGATCACCTACCTACCTACTTTACTTTCGGGAACAACGAAACCCTATAATATATTTATGCATGTTCTTTTCTTCTCTCTAACCCATTTTTTTGTTTTAACCTTTTTAGGTTAATATTCTCCCACAGTTCTGAATATAATATTTGTCCACTTTCGATTTTTTTTGATCAAAATTGATAAATTTTGATCCCAAATTAGATAAAAATGATATTAGATATTGATGTACAAATAATTTTGTTAGATTTATTATATAAAATATTTTCAAAATAATATTTTATCTAACTAATTCACAATATATATTTTATTTAATTATATGTCAAATTTTGAAAACGGTTGGCTGAAAAAAGTCAAAGATGGACAAATACTCAAGAATGGAAGTAGTAATACAAAAACATTTTAGTGAAATTTGCACTAAATATGACTAAAACATAATGACTTTCCTAATGTAGGCATTAAACTTTTTTATTCCCTAAATAAAACTTAATAATGACCTAGTGGAAGGAATAATGTCTAGTAATGATGGACATTTAGTTGAATAATGACTACTTGATAATGACCAAAGGTCCTATATTGAGAAATAAAAACATATGGTTCTATATTGGGAAAGTCATTATGTTTTAGTCTTATTTAGGTAAATTTCTCAACATTTTATACACCTTACGCTATTAAGTTGAACGGTGTGGTGCTCTGATGGTGCCTGTGATGACCACATGGCGCCACCTCAGCTTGGACATTGGTGATGTCCAATTGTCCATCACAATAATCTCGCGTGCTCCCCTCCCTCAACTAGCCATTGCAACGGCTATTCATTCAAATTTTAAACACCCCTCACCCCCTTTTAAAAGTCACACTTTCTCTCTACTTCTTTCATATATGAATTCTTCTCATCTCTCTAAGTATTTTCTTAAATAATATTATGGATCCTTCCTATTTACAATTTCTCGAGTGGGAATGAAAATTTTTAGGAAATTTTTAACAAGTTCCGGGAAAAGCCGGTCTGACACCCGTCATGGAGAACAATGTTGAGAGCCTTGAGAGCGTTCCGAAAATGCAATCTTTCCAAAAATTCAAAGGGAAGACCGTGCGCCATGAAGGGGTCGATGACTTCGGGAGACGAAGTGAGCGTCAACGCCGACAAAGGAGGAAGCGTTGGGCCGGGTGTGGCTGCATGTTTCTGAAGACCCGATTTAAAATTATTTTTTCTCACAAATAATTTTACTCACAAATTTTTATCTTTTTTTGTAATTTTTTTTAATTTCTTGATTAGGAACTGCCCAAAATGCGGATGGCTTTTGGGATAAGGCCACTACTCAATTCCACACCCTTATGAATGACGGAAGTAGTTTTTTAGCCTTAGCAGTTTGAGAGTTAAATATTCCGTCAAAATTTTATCCAAAACGCTAACGTTAATTAATTGAAAACGTTCTTTCCCAAACAAGCAGTAAAAACAAACATTTTTCATTCCTCACATTAAAAGTCAAGTTTGGAATTAAGCCATCGGAAAATTGCACTGACGAACGTCACAAATGCATGGTCATCACAGTCTTTTAATTTACGGAGTATTTTATTATGAGGAAAGAAATACTCCATAACAAATTAACTAAAACAGCGTGCAGATAGATAATGCGCCCTGCAGCTAGCTAGCCATGCCATTCTGCGGCTCCGATCAGCAACGGCGCCTGGAGGCGGTCTCCCGTTGGGCGTTGAAGAAGACGCATGCGACCGGCGAACCCAACTCGTTCTCCTCCGCGAAACGCCGTGTGCTGAAGTGGTCCCTCGAATCAGTTGCGGTGGACGACGGTGGGGCGGCGGCGGTGACTGACCGCCTTTGTTTTTGTTTGAACAGAACAAACACAAACCTGTGTATCCCTATTTTAGGCATTGGCATTTCGTAGCTAACCAATTCTCGCCCTGTCATTAAAATTAATTACCCAACATATGGTTCACTAGTACGTAGTAATTCCTTAAAAAGTAATTGTTCTTTAAACTAATTTAGAGGAGTACTTGACAAATTTAGAGTACTCTTGTAGCTGGTTTGAATATTGGAAGATGAATAAAATTTCTGCTTTCGGTTCAAAAAAATTTTTTAGAGTACTTTAATTTTAATGACAAATGTGCTTCATTTGAGATTGGTGTTTTATTCCTTCCCTCTTATTATGAATATCACACTCTAAACAACGTGCGAAGTTCTATCATTTTTAAAATCATTTTAATTACAAATTGATATAGAAATACAAATATAAATTACCCTGGCCTGGTCAAAAGCATATAGAGTAAATTCCATAAGTTGTTATATATATACTACTTCTGTCACAGAGTATTTGTCCACTTTCATTTTTGCACACCATCCAATGCACTTCTTTGATCCATTTTATCTTGTAATTTGTATATTAAAAAAAATATATAAATTATATATTAATAATCTACTCCCTCTGTCCCAGAAAACTTTTCTCCTTTCTTTTTTCATCCGTCCCAAAAAAACACTTCTCATTTTTATTAAAAAGTCACTTTTACCCCTTACTTTTTCATACCCTACCTATCACATCATACCTTTTTACTAATAATCTATCCATCAAATCATACTTTTACCCATCACATCAAAAGACATTTTTGGAAATTCAATACCAAAATACACTCCCCTTAAATCCCTCTCCAAAACCAAAACTCCCATGTTTTCTGGGACGGGGGGAGTATATGTTAAGACAAATCAAACAAGATCACACATGACTATATTTAGGCTTACACATTGAGAAAATTTAATGAGTCAAAGTGCTTAGATGAACAGTTCCAAAAGTCAAAATTGGACGAATATTTCGAGACGGAGGGAGTATATTATATACACACATATATATATATATATATATATATATATATATATATATATATATATATATATATATATATATATATATATATGAGCATATACATGTGATTCATTACTTACCAAAAGTAGCATCTGTAGTCCCTGGGATATCCGTTACTAGCCTGAAATACACAAATTAATCTCTTTAAAGGCAAGATACAAATATGTTACCCAAAAATTAAATTATGCTTCGTTTAAAATAAAGTATACTTCCTACATCCCAAAATGAACTAGACATTGCAGTTTAAAACATTTGACTGAAATTTTTTTGAATTAACTTATTTTAATATTGGCATAAAACTTCAAAATACATAAGTTATTTAAGTAATTTGTCTCTTTTTTTTCCTTTGATGTTAAAGATATTATTATTAGATAGTCTAGTTACAGTACAAAAATAGATCAATCAAAAGTTAAAAAAACAACTATTTCTGCAAGCGGATTGAGTATATATTAAGAATACCATGTCAAAAATTATACAAAATAAAATGTGATATGATTATATTACTCCCCCCGCTCCTAAAAACATGAGAGTTATTGATTTTTAAGAGATTTAAGCGAAGTGTATTTTAGTATTGAATTTCTAAAAAAGTTCTTTGATGTGATAGGTAAAAACAAGAGTGATGGGTAGACTATTAGCAAAAAGATATGATGTGATAGATAAGGTATGAAAAAATAAGGGAAAGAGGGTGTGATACTCATTTTCTTGTAATAATTTAGCTCATGCTTTGGCAAGAGTGTGTGATACTCATTTTGTTGTTTGGGACATTGTTCCACCAAATTTTCTTCTCCCATTGATGAATCAATAAAATTCACTTTTTTGTTTAAAAAAAAACAAGTAAAAAAAATTTGACTATATAATAAATAATACGTAACATAAAATATTTTCGGGCAAAGAGAGTGTTAGATGTATCGACAAAAAATAAATACTCAAAATCTTGTTTTTTACTCCTTAATTAGTTTAATTTTTGTGTAACTACGGAGTATTATTTTGATGAACTATATATTTTTATGAGAAATTTATCTAAATAAGACTAAAACATAAAGTTTGTTTCATATAGGGTCATTGGTCATTATCCATTAATCGTTATTCACGTAAATGTTCACCATCACTGGACATTATTTCTCTCATTAGACATTATTAAGTTCTATTTAAAGAATAAAAAAATTTAAGTCTTACATTAGAAAATGACTTATGTTTTCGTCATGTTTAATACTCCCTCCGTCCCTAAATAAACTTCCCCTTTCGTTTTTTCTTTGTCCCCAAATAAACTTCTCTTTTCTCTTAAAAAACTCATTTTACCCCTTACTTTTGCATTCCCTACCTATCACATCATACCTTTTTAATAATAATCTACATATCACATCTTACTTTTACACATCACATCAAGGATATTTTTGAAAAGTCACCACAAAAATATCCCTCCCTTAAATACTCAAAATGTCAAAAAGAGAAGTTTATTTAGGGAGTACAAATTTCAGTATTTTTTCATCACATGGGATGTACACATTTTTTTGGAGTACTTAGAATATTTTGTCTTATATTTCCTTGCCTTACACGTGCTCTAATTCACTCTCTGTGTGAAAATCGCACGATGGACCCCAGTCTGAAACTTTGCATGTAGGCCATGTACGGAGTATTTTTCTTTTACTCATTTCTTCCCTCGGTTTATTGAAAAATATAGTTGTGAAATTTTATATTTTTATAATATTTAATTATTTTAAATTATATTTAATTCATGGTAAAAAGGTGACACTTGTTAACAAAAAAAATCAAACTATGACAATTATTTAAGAACAAAGAGTAATTTACCAAATCACCCACAATAATTCTAAATATGTCAAAAGAGTCATACATTGTCCGGGTGTCAACTCACCAAACTTTAGACCATATGTGCTTCACGTTCTTTCATTAAGATATTGTATTGAGACCATGCTATGTCTTGAGACCTCCACATCAAACGTGTCTAAAATCGACCAAATCACCCACAATAGTTCCAAATATGTCTAAAGAGTTAAACTTTGTCTAGAGTGTCAATTCACCATAGTTTGGACCATATGTCCTAAACGTACTTTTATTAAGATATTGTATTGAGTAGGTACGAGCATTTTGCACATGTTTCTTAACTAGGAGTAAAAAAAATATTTCTTTGTCTCAATTGTTTTTCATATTTGAAAAAAGAAAATTCAAAAAAAAAAAATTATGTTATTTTATTTTTTTCATTATTTTGTACTCCCCCCGTTTACTTAAACTCTTTCTCTTTCATTTTCTTTGCTTTTACCAAAACACTTCTTTTTTTATTATAATGACTAACATATTCAAACAAAGTCATTACATTATATACTTCGTCGTGTTTGCATTGATATAATAAGTTATTTAAGTAATTTATATCTCTTTTTTTCTACGCAAATGATTTAATTAGAAAGTCAAATTACAAAAATAAATCATGCAAAAGTCAAAACAAAACTGTATGGTTAGTGGAGGGAGTAATAGGGTAGGATATGATATGTAAGATAGAAAATTAGAAATTACAAAATAATAACAAAATTGTATATTTTTAAGACACATTACTTTTCGTACAGGAAATGTTTTTAGGACTGAAAGTAAATACCATTATAAGAGAATAAATCACTTCAAATAGGAGGTAAATATAATATTTATCCTCAAAATAAGACTTTTATGTTTTTATACATACAATATACACTATGATATTATGACACTGTATAGTGACATCTCATTTTACTTTTTTGGTACTATATATTGGAATTATTGTTATTGTACTTCTATTTTGAAGTTAAAAATATGGAGCTCCTATTTTAATATCTTCTCCATGTTTTAATCTTAGTTCATTGTTTACTAATTTCCGTTATAAGAGTTACATAAGTTTAATTCTCTGACTAGGCTCCGTTCCGTTTAACTTATTTTTTCTGATCTGATCTGATTTTTTGTAGTTCTGATCTGATTTGGTCTGATCTAATCGGATCTGATCTGATTCGATTAATTATGATTTGATTTAAAACTCAAATCAATAATTTGATTTGACTTTATAATAACGTTTGAAAATTGTAATGATAATTCATATTATAATATAATCAATATTTTTTATTTAATAATTTTTTTAATAAAATAAAATTACTTAATTCATATATTAGAATAATCATTCATATTATAATGTAATAATATTTTTTATTTTATGATTATTTTTTTGTGAAATTAGAATATTAATATAATATTTTAATAATTATATTACTTCATATATACATTAGAATAAATATTTATATTATATATACATTAAAAAGTAATTAAATTTAGATAATCATAATATAGAATAGATTGTATTTTTATTAAAATATCTCATCCTTATAAAAGATCAAAACTTTTAAAACTCAAATTACAAGTAACAATAAAAATGTATTTTAAAAGTAGAATTAGATTGACATTGTCAATGTATTTTAAAAATAATTTTTACGACATCTAATAATTAAGGATTACTTTCTCAGTTTTCTATTTAACTTGTTTCTAAAGTTTATTCTTTTTCAATTTTAATAATAATAATAATAATAATAATAATAATAATAATAATAATAATAATAATAATAATAATTCTTGATGGGATCTGATCTGATCTGGTTTGATCTGATTGGATTTGATTTGATCTGATCTGATTGGATCTGATCTAGTCTGATCTGATCTGATCTAATCTGATCTTATCTGTTTAGATCTGGTCTCATCTGATCTGATATGATTCGATCTGATCTGATTCGATCTGATCTGATTTTAATAAGAATAAGAAAAAATAAGGAAAAATAAATTGAACAGAACGGGGCCTAAGAGTGTGATGATTGATGATATATTGTACTTCAATTCCTCTGTCCCTGAAAATCTTTCTTCTTTATTTTTTCATCCGTCACAAAAAACTTTTCTAATTTGATTGAAATGTTACTTTTTACCCAATTATTTCTTAAACTATCTATTACACCATATCTGTTCACTATTAATTTACCTTTCAAATCATAATTTTATCCATCATATTCAAAGATATTTTTGGAAACTCAAGACCAAATACACTCTCCTTAAATCTTTTAAAAATCCAAACATCCCATATTAGTAGTATAAAAGGGCAGCGTGGTTGCAGTGCGTTGGTACGTGGACAACTGGTGAACAGTTATCAACGGTGGTCAATGCTAGCGACCCACATTGAAGCTCTGGCTATTTAAATTTTAAAAGACCAGCACTTTTATTTTGGTATTTTCGTATTCATTTACTCTATTTCGAAGGTTCTATTATTAATTTCGTACTCTTTATTTTCTAGGGCTGGTTAAATTTATAGCAATACAAAGTTTGATATTAAAATTTAACCCCATGTATTTTTACAAATATAAAAAAATAAAAAGGACTTGTTTGGAAATGTTAGAGATTATCATTAGCATTTTGGATAAAATTTTAACGGTGCAAATTGCTTTGAAAAAACTAACGCTAAACGCTGCCCGTAGATAGATTTCAAAACAATAACGCTAATATCTAACACTATTCCTCACCTGGCCCAAAAAAGATTATTTATATGCGAAACATATGATATTATATTTTATCCTGAAGTAATTTCAATTTCTATTCACATGCGAAACATGTGAATAGATTGTCACAGAAATGAAACTTTAAGGCGTATACCAGTGGAGGTGCTCTCTCATGTAAGGCTCACTAGGGTTAGGAACATCTGGATCAGTCATTACCTGCAATAATAATAATAATAATAATAATAATAATAGTAATTAATAATAATAATAATAAATTAATAATAATAATAATAATTTATAATATTAATTGCTCCATTATTAGTTTTACAATCCTTCCATCTCTAAATGTTTACCACATTTAAAAAAACGAGTCAAAATCTCAAGTTTTTTCAATTTCTTTTATTTAAATGATGAGATATAGAAATAAAAAATAAAATTTACATATTTAAAAATGACGGGGAAGAAGATTTACATACACTCCTTTCACGCTTTTATTTTTTGGGAGGGAAGAGAAGATGTAGAAATTTGACCAAGGCAAAACAACAACAAGTAAAAACAAGTAGCGCTCAGAAAATGTCAAAATGGGGAGCCTAGAAGGTCGTTAGAATAGCAGGCTCAGTTATATTTAAAAAAAGTAAAGGCAATGATGTCCATCTAGGCTAAATTAAAATGTTCTATGACACGTCAAAATTGAAAAGTTTTAATTTTATGTTCACCTTTTTAATTTAGCTTTGCATAAATTTTGAAGAGAACAAAAATGGTCTATATAATTGAACACTAATGAGTTTTGTTGCTAACAATATACTCCGTAATAGTCTTAACTTTTAAGGGCTACTAGCTGTAATCAAGGGGTTATGTCCCACAATTAAACTCTTCGAACAACATGAAAAATTTCATTTTTTTTAAATATAATGTATTTTGCGAACTCGATCCCTCCGTCCCACTCTATTGCCACTATTACTTTATAAGGATATAAAGATTAAATTTATTAGAAGTAATTGAGAAAATAGAGGTGGGTGAGATAGGTTGAAATACGGAGTAATAAAGAGAGGGTAAAATATTTGAAAAAGTAAAATAGAGTGTAAAAATTGTCAAAAAACCAGTTTAGCCAAAAGCTCAAGCTTGTGATTGTGACCAAGAAAAAATTATTTATATTCTAACCCAATTAAAAACCTTACGTGCAAGCATAATATTTTTCGAGCCTTGCACATGAAACTTTAAATTTTTTAAAATCGAGTGGCGTTGAGTTTCGAACTTGTGACTTATTAATCAACAAGGCTCGATCCGATACAATGTCAAAAAACCAACCCAACCAAAAGCACAAGCTTGCGGTTGTAGCCCAGAAAAAGTTATTTACATTCTAACAAAAATGATTGAAAAGTAAGAAAAAACAAGAGTATATTTCATTGAGAGAGAAGAGTAGAGAAATGAATTGAAAGAAGCAAATATATAAATTAAATAGCTACCAGAGTAAAGAAGGATCTGAGATCAGCTCCCCTAATGGAAACCCTGGGTCTGGAAGTGAGAGCAGAGGGCAAAAGCTCTTGGCCATTGAAGAGTCTGCAGCTGATATTAGCTGCCGCTGCAGGGCCGCCGCCGGCGGAGGAGGGGAAGTTGAAGGTGACTTCCATTCTAAGGGTTGGGTCATGGGTGAAGCTGTCATCAACCACATCCCCTATAACCCTACCCATTCTCAGTGCCTCCATCGACATCGATCCTTTTTTTTTTATTTATTAGTAATCACTCAATTATTTCAAGATCAAATTATGGGAGCTGAGATCTATATATGACTACTGTCTACTGCTGTGGTTCTTAGTTGGCCCTTCAACAAACACAAGAATGAATGAATGAAGAAGCTAAGCTAGCTAGGAGTGGTTCCCAACATTTTGATATGATGTGGATGTGGGGTATATATATTACTTTCTCCATTCTTAAAAACACTTCCTCTTTCATTTTTTCCACTTCCAACAAAACACTTCCACTTTCTATTAAAAAACCACTTTTACCCTTACTTTTTCATACCCTACATATCACATCATGCTTTTTCTCTAATAACCTATCCATCACATCTTACTTTTACCCATCACATCAGAGGCAAAATTGAAAGTCAACTATAATTTAACACTTCCTTATTTTGGCTTCAAGTCAAACTAGGAAGCTTTTTTGCATGCAAACGGAGGGAGTATATTGCCTCCTCTTCTCACTCCCCTTAATTGCTACTCCATCTGTCCCGATATAAGATTTTCTTTATCACTTCATCACCGATTTCTCCAAATTAAGAGTCACTTAACGTCATATCAACGCTGACAACAATCACTATCTAACTCACTTTACATATGTAGTGCTCGCATCCACTCTAATGATTACACATTTGTTTTTTCTTTGTTTTTGAAATGTTTTTCAATATTTTATTTTATATTTTTTTAATATTCATATTTTCAATTTATATACATGTGTTTGATTTTTTATTTTGTGATATATACATGTGTTTTAATTTTTATTTTTTAAAAATTTTAAATTTTAATTGTTTTATATCAAATACAAATGACAAAGACCTTGTGGTCCAAAGAAGATAAAATGGTTATGGGGAGTCACATGTTCAATCTTGGGTCTTAGTATTTCAGCAGTTTAAAAAAATATGTATGAAAGGATGATACAATTATAATAGAGTTGTTAAATAAAGTAATACTCCGTACTCCCTCCGTCCCAGACTATTCGTCCAGTTTTGACTTTTGGAACTGTTCATCTAAGCACTTTGACTCATCAAATTTTCTCAATGTGTAAGCCTAAATATAGTCATGTGTGATCTTGTTTGATTTGTCTTAACATATAGATTATTAATACTCCCTCCGTCCCTAAATAGATTACAATCTTTTTTCTCTCTCCTCTCGATAACTTTTGTTTGTTTATGCGATTTCATTAAGTATTTGATAAAATAAAATATTCTTGTTACCTCTTGTTTTGTAGAACTTTTGACGTAGTTTTTTAATACGAAATTTTTATATGTTATTGATATACGAATTTGTAAATAAAATGATTACAAAAAATAGAAAATTTTACTCCGTAACCCGCAATTTGTAATCAAATTGGGGACGGAGGGAGTATATAATTTCTATACTTTTTTAATATAGAAATTACAAGATAAAATGGATTAAAGAAGTGCATTGGATGATGTGTAAAAATGAAAGTGGACAAATACTCTGGGACGGAGATAGTAGAACAAATGGTGAATGCATATTGGCTGAACTTATTTCTAATTTAAAGTTCACTATTGTCAATATTTGAGAAAAGCTAAAGTAAAATGTGGAGCACCACTACCAAAGGGTAGAACTAAGATATTAATAATGTGTCACATGACAAAAAAAGATGATATTCTATATCTTGTGTCACTTCAACATTGGCGGTAGAGTTATATGAGAGTACATAAATTAAGTTATAAGTTGATTAAGTTCAGTAAATTGGCATAAAGATATGGTTCCATTCTTGATACTCATCATGTGCGTCTCTGCACAACATGAAGGCACCCATGGAGGCACTCTAACTCTATCTAACAATTTATGAGTTGGAGATAATTGTGGTGTAAAGCTGGTGGATGTGAAGCACAAAAAAAAAGAAGAGAGAATATGAATAAAATCTCCCATTTTGCTTAACAAAACAAAAAATCCCCAATTTTGTATGTTTTTCAGTTTTTTGGAAACTTTTATCTCCCGGCCCCGCCGGCGGCTGCGTCAACGGCAGCACAGTGTTGCAACGAAGATTCTATCGTCTGATTTGGACGACTCTCTTTGCGAACTTCAGATTCAAGACGACGCCTAATCCGCACTTGAGTGCACTGAATTCTCGTTCCTGATAAAAATGGCGACCGGAGCTTCCAGAAGAGTATCGGCAGCGGCAGCCAGGTCTCACACTAGAAGACATCAGCAGAAGAGTTTTGCTTTTTTCTCTCCAGGTCCGCTTTTTTTCTTCTTCCTTAATCAGTTTAGCATCTGTCAAAAATGTCCTTGATTTTACATGCGGAGCCTTTGTTCATCTGGATTGTGTGTATATACAGAATTCTGTTAAGCATCGCTCAGATTCATTGCTTTGAAAGACGGAATTCTGTAAAAATTGATCGATTTAGCTAGAACATATATGCTGTATGCTGGAGTGGGATTTGATATTTGATATTTGGATCTGAAATTCAACCTCGGTGGATAAAGAGTGAGATCGTGTTGTTACAATACATGTATTTTGTGAAATGTGGTGTTTCTGAAGCTGACTGATGAAATTCTAATGTTTTTTTAGCTGATGAAAGACTTTTAACTTCATATGATGATGGCATGTGATTGTTTGAATGATGAATATGCTGTTTGGTTTCTGGTGTCTCTTAGCTTCTCGAGGTTGCTTACCCTCAAAATTTCATTGTTTCAGGATTCTTGAGGAGCATGTTACAAGCAGCCATACTGTTCTTCATCTTATGGGCTTATCAGGCAACTAGGCCTCCTCCCCCCAAGATTTGTGGATCACCAGATGGACCTCCGGTGACTTCGTCACGAATACAACTCAAGGATGGACGACACTTGGCTTACAAAGAGCAGGGCGTTCCCAAAGATAAAGCAAAGTATAAGATTGTGTTTGTCCATGGGTTCGATTCATGCAGGCACAGTGTTGTCATAGACACCACCCTTGCTCCTGTAATCCTTCTCTTTTTTAAAGTTTTGTTCAGTGTAGTATTGTTGGGAGACAAACAACCCCCACATGGGATTGAGAAGGAGAGATTGACTCAAATATAAGCTCGAACCCAACTCCCTTAGTATTAGGCCTTTTGGGAGGTGTCCAAAAACAATCTTTTAGGATTTCGCCTAAAGTGGACAAAATCATATTAATGCCGAGGTATGGTGAGGTACTTGCAGTACCAATATGTATAAACCGGTCTTCATTAGGCAATGGACAGACCAGGGGGGCCGCCTTGGGCGGGGTTGTTGGATGCCTTTAACTAGCATTACCTTCTTTTCTTTTGGGTGCTCCATATCTTTTTAGCATGTATTTATATAGAAATACCAGAAATAAGTTATAATAAAGTAATTTGAAATTTTAAAAATTACAGAGTAATAGATATTAGTAGGTCAGGCTGGCTATAAAATGAGTTGTTAGATGCTTTCCAATTAATCAATGCTAGCCCACAAAATAATACTTAGATACAACATAGAGGCAAAAACAGAATACTCTAGGGTGTACTTGGATCCTTGAAAATTTTAAGGAAATGGAAAAAATACTAGTAAAGTTGATCCGTTTTTTCTTATATTTGATTATACCTTCAAAAACAAAAAGGAAAAACAATAAAATTGGTACAAAGCGTAGTATAATCTCAACCCTATGGGAGTCTGACGGGTCAAGATGTACGCAGCTTTAACACCATGATGCATTGTTGCATTGACTTCCCAAAATTTGTATATATTGGAAATTACTAAATAAAATGAGTTTCAACTTGTCTTTTATTCCGGCCTAAATTTGTTCACATCCCAATTCTCAAGTTTCATCCTTGTTTTCTCTCCCTAATATTTTCTAGATTCCAAACGGATATCCTACTTCTATATATTAAGCCCCATTATGTTTTAATATTGCTGGAATGAGTTCTTTGTGCAGGGTGTTGCTGAGGATTTGGGGGTGTACATTGTTTCCTTTGATAGACCTGGTTATGGAGAAAGTGATCCTAACCCAAAACGCACAGCAAAGAGCATAGCGTTTGATATAGAGGAGCTTGCTGATCGGTTGGGACTTGGTTCAAAATTCTATGTTGTTGGATTCTCCATGGGCGGGCAGGTTGTCTGGGGCTGTCTCAAGTACATCCCTCATAGGTATATTCCATCTAGTTCGAACTTATACTACAAGAACAACAACCTAAGAGAATCCCACAAATGTAGGGTCTGCTGGGGTTAGTTTGAACTAATACTAGCATGCTGAAAATTGTGGAGTTTCTTTTTTTAAAAAGTATATGATTTCAAAAGTGATACTCTATCCTTATTTAGAAAAGAGTCTTTTTTGAAGAGTCTTTTTAAGTGAAAGTGCATATATTAATCAAACAAACAGTTAAACAACTATACAACAAACCTCTAGCACAAAATCACCAACTCCTTAGATCCTATACTTTGTACCAACAATTTTACTAGTAATAAAAGTACTAAGCTGTAACTTTAACCAACTATATAGTTCTTCAGTTTCTATCAATCTCTCGTGGAAAATATGTTTGTTCCTTGCCTTCCAAATTCCATAGAAAACGGCAGCAAATAGAGCATTCAAAGCACATATTTCTCTTTTGATCTTGATGTGCTACAGCAACTGGTGCAAGTTAATAAGGGAACTGGCTGTGAGCTTCTTCCCATCCTAGTGGACATAGTGCTATGTACAGCTTTTGCATAGAAACAATAAAAAAATAAGTATTGAATATATTCCATAACATGACCACAGAACACACTTCTGATCAATTTCCATAAATCTGCCCAGTCTCTCCTTAGTGGGGGTAGTCTGTTCTAGCGGATCAGCCAAAGTAGCATTTGATGTTTAGGGATAGTCATACTGTCCCAAACAGTTTTAACCCAAACAAGAGCTTCTCTGCATCCCAATGGCCAAGCATACCCATCTTTAATGCTATACTCCTCTCCTCTAGGCATATTATCAAAGCTGACCCTGACCCTAATAATCTTCTTTCAATAGAAACAAGCATTATTTGTCACTTAATACTCCCAGACCTCACTAGTTTTGAGATATTTACTATGGATTCATTTGACCCATAGT